AGAGACGTCTTATATTACTGGGACACCCAGGTAGAAAGTGCTACAAAATTTTGCAAAGCAAGTCCCCTTTAGTGAATCAAGACCTCTTGTGAGGTTTGTAGGGCTTGGGTGAGATAACAGACTTTCTGTATAATAGCCCCCACCTTATACCCATTACCCAGAGGTATAATCAGCAGCTCAGTAAAGGAGCTGTTTTATCTCAACGTACTTTTGCTTCCAGCTGTCTGGATTGTGGGGGCCTAACTGAGATTTTACCCTTGCTTTCCCTTCCCTGGTCATCCTCTGGTTCTGACACTCATTTGGATTACATTAATCACTTTTGTTATTTTACTTTCTGTTGTGCCCTGGGAAGGTTTTTGATGGCTGTTGCGCTGACAGTATTGCCTGGGGCTACGCAGGAGAAGGGCAAGTGACCAGATAGGGTTCTGACCCAGCCTTCATGAGCCCCACTCAACAACCTACTCATGAGGAGAAACTCCTTTTTATTTAGAAAGGGAGGAATACAGAGCATTCACTGATAAAACTCCAGGTCACACATCTTTAGATGATTCGCAAGCCTTAGCAGTCTCTGAGTTCCCAGAAGGGAGCCTCAATTACCATTTCAATCCCAACACAGAGAGTATTGACCAACCAACCTGAATAGTGGCAAGGAAATCCTGGCAAGGAATGGGGGGGGGGACTCTTCTGGAGCATGAACCCTCCTCCTTATATCCCAGCTGTTAACAACTCCTTCTTTTTCCTGGATAGCTGTCTCTCAGTCCTACGTTGTTCTCCTCTCCACACTTCTCTGTGCATATGGGGCAGGCCTCAGCTGTTCCTCCCCCTCTCACTCAGCTCAGGCCCTGAAAACAGCTGTCTCTACCTGAGCATGAGTAGATGGACCCTGCTCTGCATCTGGCTCTGAGACCTCCTACTCCTCAGAGCCTTCCGCAGGCCCCGATGATAACCCAGGCACTCCCTCCATCTCCTCTGACTCATCTGATGAACCACAACAGAGGTTAATGTGGGGGGACTTTGAATTATTCTTGATTCCCGGCAACTGCCTGGACAAATCCATGCAGTTTTCTGGCAATATTTTTTGGGAAGTGGTCTTGCATTTCCTTCTTCCAGGGACAGGAACTGGGCCGGAGTCACCCAGCTGGCTTCATACCTAAGGCTAAAACTCACTATCTCCAGATTTCTATCTTGATGTCTTAACTGCTACATCAACTAGCTCTCTGACCAGATGTAGGAGGTGATGAAAATAGGTACAAGAACACCTGCTTTTAATACCTAAGCTAATTCCCCAAATACAGCACATTTTTTAATGTTAAACATTTATAATCTGGAGTTGGCTAGCTATAAACACAATTTCATGTGCTCAATGTACAGTGGTACCTTGGTGCTCAACTGCTTTGAAACTCATCACATTTGGTATACCATGCATTTTGATGCAAAAATTTTGTCCCAATGCTCATTGTTTGTTTGATACTCAAGCTAGAACTTGTCGCTGTCAGCTGCCTTGTGACCTACTACATTATTCCTTATTGGAACAATTAGTTTGGCATCCATTATTTTTGGTACTCATCGCGCTTCCCGGAACCAATTAACGATGACTACTGAGATATCATTGTATTTTTTTTTCCTTTAAAAATATATTACTATGTGAAAACCAAGAGTTGACTTGGTTTAAATGGAATGCTTCTTAATTCTTAATTCTTCTTCTTAATGCTTCTTAAGTAAGAGCCTTGGTAGCGCAGCAGACTAAAGCACTGTTAAGTAACACTAGCTGCCTGCAATTACTGCAAGTTCAAATCTCACCAGGCTCAAGGTTGACTCAGCCTTCCATCCTTTCGAGATAGGTAAAATGAGGACCCGATTTGTGGGGGCAATAAGCTGACTTTGTATAAAAAAGAACACCGCTTGGGGAGGGCGAAAGCCCTACTAAGCAGGTATATACAAAAGTATGAAGGCTATTGCTTAATGCATTGTAAGCCACCCTGAGTCTCCGGAGAAGGGCGGCATATAAATCGAACCAATAAATTGAAGCAAGACCATCAAGTCTGAGATACAGATCACTGCTTAGAGCAGAGATTCTCAGCTTGTTTGAACTGGTAAGGACATTTTGAATTTTGGGAGTGTATTTCAGGCTGATGCAATAACATAGCATGCCACCCTCTCTAGTGTGCAGAATGCTACTTCAACATCTTTTTTCTTTTTCATTTCTGGGTAAATGGCATGGTTTCAACACCAGCATTAGGCATTAAACCCCCATCTTCAAGTCTGGAGATGGAGGGAGAGAAACCAGGCAGATTGTGTAAATCTATTAGTCTTCAAGTCTTCTATGTCAGAAGGTTTGTATAGTTGTGTATCAGCTGAAGTATTGGTGCTAAACGGAAAAAAAGGTTTATCTTTGTTATTTTGCTTTTTCTCCATGACTTCTATGCATAACATTTCTTCCTCCAAGCAAACTTCATAGGTTTAATTTGGCGGAGAGGCAGTGAGTTACCAAGTAAGCTTTTATGCTGAGCATGGAATGGTCTTAGGGCAGCCCAATAACCCTCTCACCCATTCTCCCTTGCCCAACTCCCTAATTTATAATGATTCCAGAAAGGGTGGGGGCAGGTATGAAGTAGGGGTGTCTTTCCACCCTGGTCTAGGGGTGGACCAGTAATATATAGATTTTAAAACCCTTGATTGCGGAGATGATTTCATTCTAAGTACCACATAAATTTTACTGTTATGGGGTGGGGGGGGAGGAAGCATTTTCTATTTGTTCACACACTGAGATTCTTTCCAGTTAATTTCAGGTTGTTTTATCACTTGAGGAAAAGTGTGAAATAAACTTGAAAAGACTCCCTCATCTCTACATAGTTACGCCTTGCCTTGATGCTCAGGAAAAAAGTCTCAAGTGAAATTTAATAGGTTGTTTGCGTTTGCTGTAGAATTCTTGAGAAAATAGCTGAGATATTGCTTTCACATGAAACTTATCTGAAACTTTAGAAGGCTGTTTATGAATACAAAAAATGTACTTTGTTTATTTGCAGAAAGTTTTTTTTTTTAATGTTCATGATATCAGTTTTGACATTGAAAACAATTTCTGGCTTCAAGTCAAGCAAATTGCCTCAGCTTAAACAGTACAGAGAGTTTCTAGATTATCACTTGGAAAGATCTGCATATCCAGAGAAATGATCTTATTTTGGCTTTATTCAGCTTGTAGCCTTACATTGTTTGGGGTTTATGTAGCCCTGAATCTACTATGACATATCCTACTTCTTTTACTGGATTAATATAAAAGAAATTTAGCAATGCAAAGATATTGGGCAACTCTGGATATCATTTTTCTGTATCGTAGATCATATATTGGGTAATGTTGAGAGCTGAAATGCCAGCAACTCTTGGGAATATACCTACATTCACTATAACAAATCATAATTTCATTTTAAAAAACAGCAAGCACTTAATACTTTCTTTGGTTCTTTTGATACTTTCTTAATTCATTTACTACTTCCTGTGTCATTGTCTGTATTTTTCCTGACCTCCTGTTTAGCTATATCTTTTAAATATGCTTTCTTTGCTGTTTGTGGCCTTTGAGAGAAAGTATTGGGGCTGGCTGTTCATAACTTACTTATAGTATAACCCTACACTATTTTGTTCATAAATAGTAGTCAAATATGCTCTGGTTGGTTCAGCAAAAAGTTGTGGCCTTACATCTGGACCATGAATGCTATCTCTTAATAGCAAAATTTTCTCAGTATGTCCTCATAATGGCATTCCAGGCAAAAGCAATCTAATTACCTGGATCTGTTGGCAAATATAGCACATACATATGCTATGTTCAGCCTGCAAGTTAGAGTATGAATTGGGAATGCATGAAAATGCTTCTACTGTCTTGTATGAGAGTTAGCATTACACTATTTGATAAAATTGAATCTGTAAAGATTCAAGTAATCTGTAAAGAAAAAAGTAATTAGTAAGTATGCATTCACATTTGCAGAAAGGCATTATATCACACTTTTTAATTCCTGCTTATTTGGGACTAACACTGTTGACAAACAGTGTTGTATGACTATATCAGTCACTCTGTAAGGTAGATAGACAGAAGATCAGTAGAGTGCCTCCAGGAACACCATCTAGCAGTCAGAAGACAGGATGAAAATTTCTTAAGCGCACAATACATGGCAAGACTCACCCATAGTTTTCACAGGGAAACTGAAAATTCTAGTCCAAGTTAAATAAAAAATACTAGGGAATTCTTGGAAGTTCAGCATTCAGACGAAACAACCATCAATGGACATCTAGAAAGAAACAATATGTACACACCATTCAAAAGAGACAAATTAAAAAAGTTAACAAGGAAACAAAAAGACTGGAACATGTCTTCTGCAACAGCCAACACCTATATAAACAGGGATTAACACCAGACAATCAAGCAGAAGACAATACCCTAATCAAGGAACTGCCATACCCCCCCTCCCCCAACACTGGCAGGATAAGCTATTGTATAGAAAGCAAACTCCACACTCATAGCATTGATGATATTATCTAGTTGGATAATGAAATGTCTGCATACAAACATCCAAACTCAAAAAGTACCAAAGACTCAAAGTTCAACCTCGAGCTACATATAGACTTTTATTGAAAAAGGTAATTGCCCATTACTTTTTTTATTATTGCTAATGTGTCCTTTTACTATTTATAGCATGATGCCTTCTTTATAAATATATTCTTTTTAGCTTCTTGCTAAAATACCTACATTTGGCTTGTACCAAGTGGTGATTGTAGTATCTGTAGGCTAGGAAAAGCTGCTGTGCCTTACCACAAAATGGAATTCGGAGGCTATCTATCAAATAGAAGTGACAGCAGTCTCACTGACTTTCACTTTTTCTCTCTTCAGAGGTGAATGTTTTGTAGGACATAGCGTGGTTTTCATAAGTTGTAGCTCAGGGCAAGCTCAAAGAACAAGAAAGGTCCCTGCCATTTTAATGTAATATTTTCCCCAATACTGGTGATAGAACATCTTACTTTTTTCCAACAATTTTATTAAATATTATACCATACAAGTAAAACTTATACAACCAAAGAATACATTAAAAATATATATATATTAAATACATTTAAAAAGAAAAAAGAACCTCTTAATCCCAAGCAAGCATAATCAAAATTAAGAAGTTATCACTACCTCTTAAAATAAAATCAGACTTCCCTTCATTCCCTATCTAACCCGTTTTTATATACCCATCTCTGTCTCTCCCTATTAAACAACAAAAGTCCAGTAAAAGTTATTAGAAACAACATAAATATTACAAATTATTTATTAAATCCAGTCCGAATCCTTCTTTTTTCCTTTAAACAAATCTCCCCATTTCCTCTCTTCAAATAATTAAAATTCAATCCTACTCAAACAACAATTAAATGATACCAGAAATAACCGTGAATCGGCATCCAGTCCTAATCAAAAACCATTAAAGATCAATCAAAGTAACCGATTATTTTGTCCTTGATCAATAAATCAATTTTATATTCTTTTTTCCGCAGTCTTTAAAATCCTCAAAGGAAGTTCTAGGATCTGCCTTCTCATACTCTCTTCTTTTTTCTTCATCCTCATCAAGTCCGCTTTGTAGTTCTAATATAGTAAGTCCAGCAAATCCTTTCTGTAAATTCAGTGTAAGAAAATAATCTGGATCTCTCCTCTGATTTGTTATTTGTGGTTCTTTTTCATATAAAACAACATCTTCCAGTGCATATGAAGACTAGAGAATAGCGGAAATGATGCAGGGGCCCTTATACAGCACTCCACTATCTTTCAGTCCAACTGCTAATGAAGCTATTGTCTTTGCTGGCATTCAATCTTGACTTAGACTTGAGAAATGATTGTAAATCAGCTAATGAGTATATTCATTTAAGGTGGCTTTATATGTTAAAATGGCACACATCTGCAGTGTTAACAACCTGATTTCCTTAATATATTTTGTTTGAGCTAGTTGCTACTGAAAAACAACTTCTCCTATTGAATGTAGGCTGTGTCAGATATTTGCCAAATGAATTCAAACTTCAGTTATAACTTCAAACATACTTGCTAGAGAGTAAACCCATTGTTCTTACTGACAAAGTAAACCTAGAAAGTTAACAGGAGTTTGTTGGTAGAAGGAAAAGGATGGCAAGAAGTGCTGAATGCTTTGATGGATTGAATGATCAGCAGAAAGGAATAAAAATCCTCCCCTCAATCGCTATTGCTGCAAACCTGTTCTTAGCTGAAAGCCCATTTTTGGTGGCTTCCTGCTGAGTAAGCAGGGAAAAAAGAGTCCAAATATAAGGCAGTAGATTTCCAAGGATGGGATAAACAGAGAAAAAGCAGAAGTTTGATAGAGTCTTCCAATATATTGCCTCCCTGCTCAAGTTGATAGCATGTACTAGGCTAGCTTAAAAACCCGAGAAGCAAAAAGAGGAAAAATGAGAAAAAAGTAAACAAAACAAAACAAAACAAAAACAACCCCAAAACAAATGGTATCTTGGGAAACTTAAATGAAGTATAACCAGTGAAACAGTCTATATGGTGAAGCTCTTCAGGTAAACTAAAAAAACTCTGAGTATGTTGAAATACAAAGTCTTGTCATTTCTAAAGTAAGTTAAAGAAAGCAGATTTAGATAATTTGGAATGTATACGTGAAATTCAGCTGCCTTCTCATTTTGATTCTCTAAATCTGTAGTTTTCAACCTTTTCTTCACCATGGACCCCTTCACGGATTATGGCCACAGACCACCGAGACTTAACTCAAGATTTAAATCATAACATTTCTTCAAGCCTTCGCAGACCCTCTGTGATGACATTGCAGCCCCCCCCACCCCCAGGGGCCTATGGACCATTGGTGTGAACCATTGTTCTAAATAGTTAGCTATCCCCTTTCTTCTTCATAGACTTAAGTCCTCATGGACTTAATAATTCCCTTGTTCTTTAAAATGGTTCAACTCTCACAAAATTGCCAAATCTAGTAAGATTTTTAAGGTTCAAATAAAATGTCTTACAACCTCAAATCACATTGCTGAAACCTGAACTTTTAGCAATGTGATTTGACACACTGTCCCTTGAGTCAAGCTCAGCTCCTTATGAGTACATGGTGCAGTTGTACTGTATGTTCAAGAGGCTACAAAATAAGGTGTGGTTTTTTTTTTTCATTTCCAAAAGCAGAGATCTATCCTCCCACAATGCCCCATTATTATTCATCCAAAGTTGTACTGTTACATTAGAAGGAATACCAAATCTTTCTGGAGGGATCGGGGAAATGCATGGCCCAAGTATAAAGCTGGGTGTAGGAGATAACTAGGCTGACCTTGAGACAGGGGTCAAGAGCCTCTTCGGTCATGAGTCCCTTCATGCCCACAAGAGATCGAAGTCCAACCCACCTTGAATTCCTTTGACTCTTATCTACCACCAATTTGCTTTGCCCTTTAGTAGTTCAGATTCTTGTGGAGAGCTTAAACTTGCAATAAATCTTTAAACCCACTTGAATTGCCTGGGTCTTCTGATTTCTCTGGCACTTATTACTGGATGCAGTAGAAGAATCTGGAAAACAAAGAGAGAACATAAAAAACTGAATTTAAAAAGTGGGGGGGGAGGCTTTCAGCCATGTTGCTGAATTAACTGGGAGGATTGTCTTTGATAGATTTGTCTTCCTACTTATATCAATTATTTAACTATGAATAAGAAAATATAGCTTAAACATGTAACTTTGTATTATGTATTCCTAGCAACACAAATGGAACCACTGACTCTCTTACATTTCAGGACATTTTAATGCACTTAAGGAACAGAATGTTCCCAATTATTTTTTTACCACGTTGAAGCAAATGAAACATAACCTATGATTTATGAAATTTCGATGACCTGACTAATAGATTAATAGATTGCCAAGAGAAGCCAAGATGCAATAAAGACATTTTTGCTATATTGTAGAGTTTTATCTACATAACGGCCTTACTTTTCCTTACAGAAGTACATACGAAGTATGAAATCTTACTGAAGTTATACGGCAAAAGTGCATCTTCGTACACACATTTCCAGCCTTACTACTTTTATTTCCATATAAAATGTGGACTGTATTTCTTCATAATTGTTATGATAGCTTTGGCAGTTTTAAATTGTATGGGAACTCTGCATCAATAGATTTTTTTCCCCTGGCTATTGTTCCAAGAGTGGTCCTTAAACCTCCTAAAACCTGGAGTCTTTAGGAGTAACATTCAAAGCAACTCTAAGGGGTCGTTGGTGCTCCCTGAGCTTGCTTGTTTTTTTTTTGCAGACATTTCATTGCCCAAACTAGGTAATATCATTGGTGCTAGTCCTGATAATGTTACCTAGTTGGGTAATGAAATGTCTACAAGAAAACAAGCAAGCTCAGAGAGCACCAAGGGCCTCTCATGTCAACCCTGAACTACAAATATTCTCCTTTATTAAAGAAACTTTAATTATAGGACAAAACATTTGCCAGTCTTGGTACATCTGTAAAATCTTTGCATCCTGGACCAAGGCATCTTACTGGATTTCCATGGAAACCACAGTGATTAAAGAACCTATTTGCCTAAAGAGATGTAGATGCACAGGTACGATTATGCATCTGTTCTCCTAAGGTACAAACATTGCTTCTTTCCAAAGGGCAATGCAATGCAGTTCGTTTCCATCTGTAGGTCTTAGGTAAACTCTCTAAGCAATTTACAGAGTCAGCATATTGCCCCCAACAATCTGGGTCCTCATTTTACCGACCTCGGAAGAATAGAAGGCTGAGTGAGTTTTGATCCGATGAGAATCAAACTGCTGGCAATCAGCAGAATTAACAGAATTAGCCTGCAATACTGCATTCTAACCACTGCACCACCATGGCTCTTACAAACTAATATAGCTTGGTGCAAGAAACATCTGTGCTTAAATGGATCTAAGCCAATCAAACATACTTTAGGACCAGAGAAAAAAATGGAAGTTTTAGAAAAGGGAAAAGTGCTTTAAACCTTAGCTGACTACTGAAAGACCATAAAATTTTATGAGATTTATTTAAAATGGCTGGCTAAACTCTTAATGTCTTATGCCCAACTACTGTATATTAAAGACTAAGAAAAAACTTTTCTTTATTTTTATCATAGTTTCTGTAATGCCTTAGTTTTCTACACAGCCAAACCCTGCTACTTTTCTTCGATATGCCTAGCAAAGGGGCATGGGGGCTCAGCAGTTAAGATGCTGGGTTGTCGGCTGGAAAGCTGGCAGCCCAGGTTCGAGACTCAACTGCCACGCAATGCCTTTCTCGCCCCAGCTCCTGTCTATCTAACAGTTTGAAAGAATGCAAATGCAAGTAGATAAATAGGTACCACTTCGGTGGGAAGGTAAAAACGCTCCATGACATCATGCTGGCCACATGACTGCAGAAATGTCTTTGGATAGCACTGGCTCAATGGCCTTGAAATGAAGATGAGTATTGCCCCCCCCCATAGTCACAACCACTAGCGGAGTAAAAATCCTCAGGGACTCATTTACCTTTTCCTCCTAGGCATAGGAAAACACTCTTCAAAGATTTACAGTGAAGAATTACCTTTTGACTGATCATCAACCATTAGAAGAGATGTTTTGCTAAAGTTAACCTTTAAAAGTAAAGATGATTTACTTACTTTTAAAGCTGATCTTAAAGGAAAAAAGTACCATATGTTTAGAGTAAATGTACTCAACGATACACATCTTTCTGCTGTGGGCTTGATTCTTTTTTTGGTAATCACTACAGCTCCTATTGACCTAGCAGAAGACTCAAGAAATTAATTATTTTTCAATTCTGTGCCAAAGAATGCTTTAGCTAAAGTGGATGTTTTTTTTAAAATATAAAATTAAATAAGAAAAAAATGTGATAATACTCTGTTTGTTCTAGTTTGTTGCCTGTCACTCCTTTCAGCTGTTCAAATATTATTCTTGTCTGAGAGGCATGAATCTGCTTCTGTCAAAACAGAATCTTTCAAGAGACCTGGCATATTAGATACTGTAAATGAGTGTGATCAGCAGTGGTCATTTAATAAATAAAACATACATGAATTTCCTGACAGATCTTTGAAGGCTGGGATGTCTTCCTTGGGTGGATGCAATCACCTTGGAAGGGGTTGCATTCTGAAAATGGGTAGCAGAAAGACAAAGAAATAGACAAGGTCACACAAAAGCTAAATCCAATTTAAATTAATTGGAATGGAATTTAGGAAATACAGGAAATGCGGCCCAATCAGGGGTGAAATCCAGCAGGTTCTAACAGGTTCTGGAGAACCGGTAGCGGAAATTTTGAGTAGTTCGGAGAACAGGCAAATACCACCTCTGGCTGGCCCGAGGGTGGGGTGGGATTGGAGATTTTGCAATCCTTCCCCCAGGAGGGGAGGGAATGGAGATTTTGCAGTATCCTTCCCCCAGGAGGGGAGGGAATGGAGATTTTGCAATATCCTTCCCCTGCCACGCCCACCAAACCATGCCCACAGAACCGGTAGGGAAAAAGTTTGGATTTCACCCCGGTGCCAATGTGTTCTTCAGGGAAATGCAATCCTGATGTAATTTCCCCCTTTTGTCACCTGAATAATTATTTTTCAGCAGCAATTTGTGGGATTATGTGCTGCCTAATAATATGTTGTCTGCAGATTCCAGGATTTCTCTAATCCCTAAAAAGTTGCCTATGAATATCTTCCCCCAATTATGTTGAACTAGTTTGAAAATATATCCAATTTCTTGAGAGATTCGGCAAGCTTGTCAGATATGGGGTGACTTTGGGGAAGGAGCGCTGAAGGTTGCTTGAACCCATCATTCACCTAAGGGACTATTGTCTACAAACACAAAGGGCTGGTTCCCACAACAAATGCCTTGAAAACCAAATTAATCACATTATGTCTTAGTAGATACCAATCTTTATGAAATAGAGACAGATACAGCTCTTTATGAAATAGCAAAAATCATATAAGATTTAGTGTGTGTGTGTGTGTGTATGTACCCATATATGAACATGTGAATTTATTTTTTTTTAATTTTATTTATTTGTCGAGTACGTATTAGATAATATATATAAGTATAAGCATTAATTGAATACATAAAATGAATACAATTAAAGGGAACATTAGGACAGGGACGGTAGGCACGCTGGTGCTCTTATACACGCCCCTTACAGACCTCTTAGGAATGGGGTGAGGTCAACAGTAGACAGTCTTAGGTTAAAGTTTTGGGGGTTTTGGGATGAGACCACAGAATCTGGTAGTCCATTCCAGGCATTGACCACTCTGTTACTGAAGTCATATTTTCTGCAATCGAGTTTGGAGCGGTTCACTTTAAGTTTGTATCTATTGTGTGCTCGTGTATTGTTGTGGTTGAAGCTGAAGTAGTCATTGACAGGTAGGACATTGTAACAGATGATTTTATGAGCTATGCTTAGGTCATACCGAAGGCGGCGTAGTTCTAAATTTTCTAAGCCCAAAATTTCAAGTCTGGTGGCATAAGATATTTTGTTGCGAGCAGAGGAGTGGAGGACTCTTCTTGTGAAATATTTCTGGACACGTTCGATTGTATTAATGTCTGATATGCAGTGCGGATTCCAGACAGATGAGCAGTATTCGAGAATTGGTCTAGCAAATGTTTTGTATGCTCTGGTTAGTAGTGTAATATTACCGGAGAAGAAGTTACGCAAGATTAGATTTACAAGCCGTAATGCCTTTTTGGCGATGTTGTTACAGTGGGCTTTGGCACTTAGATCATTTGATATGAGTACTCCAAGGTTCTTGTATATGTTCAAAACCATGATAAGTTTGAAGAAAGAAGCAAAGGGTGAGGTTGGGAGGATTTGCCCAACCTTGTCTATCTCACCTATGCTTAGTACTATGGAGTAGCATATATTTTCGAGATACCACTTCCTGCTCAGAAAAAAAACCCAGAAAAAGCCAGGATGGAGCATTTGCATTACATAGTTATCATGATCAATTTAACCATGCTTGATTCAATTCATTTTTCTTGATTCAAACAACATACTTGAACCTTAAAATAACCACATGGAATAAGTTTGCACATTTTGGTAGGATAAAATGTGATCCCCTTGTTTGGAGTTCTGTGTAAATATAGTTACTAAATAAGTAACTAATGACATATAAAATATGTTAATGCAAAGAGCATTAGCAAATATTGAGGATTGCAGGTAGTCCTTAACTTAGAAAAAAATTCTTTTGCCAAGTGAATTTGCCCTAACTTGCAGTTACGGTTGTTAAATGAATCACTTGAGTTAGTAACACTGTTGTTGAGTGAACCTGGCTTCCTCCATTGACTTTGTTTGTCAAAAGGTCATAAAAGGTGATCATATGATCCTGGGAAACTGCAATTGTCATAAATATGATTCAGTTGCCAGGCATCTGAATTTTGAACACGTAACCATGGCGATGCTTTGTGCCTAAGGCAGGACTAGAACTCACATTTTCCAGCTTTCCAGCTTGATGCCTTAACCACAACTCCAAACAGGGTTTCCTTATTTAGATTTAGTGTCATGTTCACTAACTTTTGTTCATTTCTTTTGAGGATAATGTTAAGTGGCTGGTGATGATAGAAGATATGTTTTACTACCAAAAAGTATTTTAGAAATAGAGCTGTGCAGAGATATGGATGTTAAGGACAAAACACGGAGCACAATTTATATTTAATTATTCAGACCATTTGTATCCTGCTAGCGTGACTCTTGGCATAATGCATGTACCTAGCACCTGTTGGGAATATCTTAAATCAGATTCCTCATTTTCAAACTGCAGAGGGGAGCTGCATAAGCCCAGGAAAAGATGCAGCTGCTTTAATAGCTTGTTTAGAGCCGCTAAATAAATTCAGCCAAAATTTGCTGGCTCTGGAATTCTGGGAGTTGAAGTCCTCCAGGCTTAAAGTTGCCAAGATTGGAGACCCCTGGTTTTGGGTATGACCCCTTTAGTCACATTTAGCAATAAAACTCACTGAATTAATGTGATTTATTGTTAGTGATTCGGTGTATATCCCACCTTTCTGTCTATATCACTTTCAAGGGCAGATGTAAGAAATTGCATCAAAAGTCTATCCAGGCAGCCCATATCAGAGGATTCCTTTATATTGGCTGAATTTATTTAGTGGCTCTAAACAAGCTATTAAAGCAGCTGCATCTTTTCCGGGGCTCATGCAGATCCCCCCTGCAGTTTGAAAATGAGGAGTCTGGATTTAAGATATTCCCAACAGGTGCTAGGTACACATGCATTAGGTTGGAGACCCCTGCCCTAAACAGGAACACAAACCCAGATGGAGATTTCTTGCAAAGCCAGCTAGGAAAGACAACAGATGGTGTGCCATTCATTCTTTCCCTTGGATTCTGTAACAACTGTTTCACTATTGTATGTCTGCTTCAGTGGGTCCAAGACAAGAGAGGCCTTATGGCAAACATCCAACTTACACTCAGCAAATTGTGGAAGAGGGCCCTCAAATGCAATAGGAAAAGCCCACAATTTGTAGTTGTTGAACTAATGCAAACTTCTCCCTAGGTTGTCTAAACTTTACTCAACATTACCTCCCAACAGAACTGCTGACTGAAATATAAAGGAGAGAAATCCCCTATTCTCTCTTGATTGACTGAAGTGCATAATGAAGCAAATAAAACCTTAGCAAATACGGTCCTGAACGAAAGAAGCAGCTGTGCTAGAGCTGTAGTTGTCCTGAAAGCTAAAGAAATGTCTGATTCCCCCTCCCCGTCCTTATTTTTACTTCCAGGATACTGAAGTACAGTCACTTACAGAAGTTTCATCCTCAGTGGCCTTAAATAACTTGAACAAGTAGAATAAGGGACGCCATTCAGTGGCAGAACAGGGCTGCCAATCAGTGGTGAAATCCAATTTTTTTAACTACCAGTTCTGTGGGTGTGGCTTGGTGGGTGTGGTGTGGCTTGGTGGGTGTGGCTTGGTGGGCATGGCAGGGGAAGGATACTGCAAAATCTCCATTCCCACCCCACTCCAGGGAAAGGCTACTGCAAAATCTCCATTCCCACCTGACTCCAGGAGAAGGATATTGCAGCATCCTTCCCCCAGAGCGGGGTGGGAATGGAGATTTTGCAGTAGCCTTCCCCTGCCATGCCCACCAAGCCACACCACACCCACCAAGCCATACCCACAGAACTGGTAGCAAAAAAAATTGTATTTCACCACTGAAATCTCCATTCTGACGCCACTCTGGGGCCAGCCAGAAGTGGCATTTGCCAGTTCTCCGAACTTCTCAAAATTTCCACTACCGGTTCTCCAGAACCTGCTGGATTTCACCCCTGCTGCCAATGCTTTGCTATTTATTGCTCCAGTATCAATCCAAACGTGTGGGGTTGCCCGCTGCGCCAGCCTACTCTTGAAGTTATTAGATGCTACTTTCCCAAATTCTAAATAAAGAATTAATCCACCCTGCATTATTCACCAGTCATTCTTTAATAGGAACATTAGGAAGGATGCTCCGGGGCAAATATACCAATCCATCTATCTAACAACGTTCCCTCATCCTTCCACTTTCCTGGCCTCTCCTTCCTCGTTTCCTTTGGTCTTGTCTTACCGTCTGGCCGCCACCAAGCCTGAACCCAAACACGCTTTGAATCCCCTCCGCTCTTCTTTCGTCCATTAAAGAGAAACCCGCGGCCGCGTCTTTCCGCTAATCGGGGCTGTCGTCGCGCCGCCGGCGATCGATGGGAGGGGCGGTCTCTCTCCAGCTGGCGGCGGCGGCGGCGGCAGGAGGGGAGGGAGGAAGCCCCGCCTTTTTCTTTGCCACGACTTTGATTGTTGTTGTTTTGCTTCGGCGGGAGTTGCGCAGCCAGGTCGGTGCGTTCTTCTCCTCCTCCGGCCCGAGTCAAAAGCGAGCGCCCGTCGCGTTTCCTCGGGCGGGCTGGTGCCGTTTGGGGATGGTGTGCGCTTGGCAACGCGGAGGGGCTTTTGGGGAGCCGAGGCAGCGCCGGGAACCACGGGGAGGCGGCGATGCTGGGATCCACCTTTCGTCGGGGCTACTTTCCGAAAGCGGGTGGTCCCAAGCGGACCCACTGAGGCTCTCCGGCCGGCAATTGGGATGGACGCCTGGCGGGATTTTGCGCCTTTTGCAGGCTTCTGGGCCCTCGTCCCTCCCACTTGCTCCTTCCTCGCTTTTGCCTTCTGCCGGCTCTTTCTTTCCCCCCCCCCGTGTAACTAATTGCCTCTTCCCTCCTTTCTGTTGCTTTCTGTCTTGGCTTGGCTGCTCTCCTGGCAGGTCCCATTTGCTCTAATTCGGGCTACAAGAAGGCGGATGATGAGATGTCCGGGGCCACGTCCTCTGCAGACCAGGGAGAGGCAGCAGCTCGCACCATTTACTTGAATGAACCTCAGCAGAGCAAGTTCCACGACAACTGGGTCAGGTAAGAAGAGCCTGGGTCTCCACGGTTAGAGGCAGGGAAGGAGAGGAAGCTGGGTGAAACGTCCAGAGTGAGCCCAAAGTACCACCTGAACTTGATACCCAGACTTCCAAATACCCAAAAATGGAAAAGTTAGGCTTGGAGGCTAACTTTTGCTTAGCTGCAGGGGTAGAGGTGGGAAGGACAAGTCCTCCGTAGTCAAAAATGGATTGTTCATGAGTTTGACTGGACAGCCTTGTTTCATCTCTGCCTAGAAATTGCCACCCACTTTTTTCTAGTTTCATGTTATAAGGTATAAAACTGCAACAGAACTGAACATAATCTACCCTCATGCACTGTGCAAACCCTGCTCGTGTTAAGTTGGTGTGTCCCTTTAATTCTGGAAAGAATAGAATAGAGTAGAATTTTTTATTGGCCAAGTGTGATTGGACACACAAGGAATTTGTCTTGCTGCACATGCTCTCAGTGTACATAAAAGAAAAGATACGTTCATCAAGAAAGATGGACTTAGAGACTAAACTATGGCTAAAGAAATCCTGGAAACACAAACTTAAGGCACCAGATTTAGTGAGTCCCATTCTTCTAAATTTCAAAGGAGAGAAAGAAGATCTATAAGATCTTCTAGAGAGTATATTCAGTTATCTTTTAAAAAAAAGAAACGGAGTGATTTACATTTGTGCCTTGGTCAAACAGAAGTGTTGAAACTTGTGGTGTCCACTCCACACCAGAATGATTTGTTATTTTAATTATTCAGTAGCTGTTAGCAAGAATGATGTCCAAGTTTCTCTGAGCGGTGAAATAATTATATAAGGAAGTAGGTATGAAGCAGTAGGAAACCAGGATCTCCTGATCAGACTAAGAAAAAGAGTGAAAGTCAAAAGGCAAGTAATGGCTAATAGACTGTTATTTACCAGTAGAAGAAAATATTTTTAGCTTAAGGTTGAACTGTGGGGTCCTTGGTGCTTTCTGAGTTTGGTAGTTTTCTTGAGAAGTTTCATTACCAAACTAGGTAATACCATCACTAAGGCACAATAGTGAGAGATCAGTTACTCCTGATTGTACAGCGACTCTACTCAGGATGAGGAGATAAGCTAATAACGGACAGCATTGTTGGGCAGCAGGCTAAATATGGATATGTGTAAAAGGAGTTGCAAATTCACCATACCTTATTTGCTCTCTAAATGGGAAAAAACTAAATCATGCATATTAATTCAATATGCATAAGGCACCATGTTTTTGCAAAGAGGGAATGACAGTTTTTGTCAGTTGTTGTCTACATTCTGTGTCTGTCAGTTGCTGTCTATATTCTGTGTTTGACAGGTGGTTGCTAGGTTATATGCTATGCTTAACCATGGCCTGCTTCAACAAGTTCGTTGAATGAGCCATGCTCAGTATGGTTTATACCAAGCCAAAACTAAAGAAGAAAAACACATTAACAGTGCATTTTGTGAACTCAGACAGCGACTCTCCCAGTTCTTTTCATTTCCTGAAACCTGATCCTTTTATTCTGACATGGCCAAGGATTGAATTTGTGTGAGATGTGTATTTAGGCAAATATCAATGAATGTCTTTTGATACACCACTGATGTGGAAAGTCAAACAGAAACCTGAAATACTGCTTTATAGGACACTGGTTCAGATATGTGACTTTTAAATTTTCCTATAATGTGGAACACAACAATAATAGCTTATTGTTGGTCTTTATTAAAATTGTGATTCGGTAACGATGCATGAATCGAGGTACTAATTAGCAGCAGTTCTCCAGAGTTTCAAACCAGCATATCCAAGTTCATGTCCAAATCTGCCTCTTTCTACCTATACTTTGTCATTAAAGGAGAGAATTCCAGACTCTTGTCAGTGCATGTGTTATTTGAGTGAAGCCAGTTGTGTGAATGGAGCTTTGAGAGGGTTAAAATTGGAACCATTCCCACTTTATTACTCTTTTTAGTAATACATATTTAATTAATAATTCTGTGTGTGAGAGACAAAAGGATAAATTGTACTTTGGATAGCACATGTTAAAAATCCCATCAAAGCAATTGAAAGGATTACATTATTAAACCTTTGACAAGATTTTGGTCAAGAAGGTTATTGCATTTTGTCAGGACTGTAGCATCCGTTTAAACAGACAAACAGTGATAAAGTGGCTGAAATGATTTATCCAGTTCTGTAAGGCATCTTTAATGCAGGATGATTGCTCATTGGCATCAGCTGGAAGAATCTTAAGTAACGGAGAACACATTAAAATAATATGGTGATGTGAATATCTCAAGAGGTACAGACTAGAAAATGATGAGAAAAACATACTAGAAAATATTGCAACAGGAATTTTGGCTACTCCCTACCTTGTACCTTTCCTTGAATGTCCCATTCCGCCTCCCCATTCAAACATTCTGTGGACGCAGAAGATCTACTTTTGATCAGTGGATTAAATTTTGTTGAATGAGAGTCCCTATTCAAGCTCCCTGCCAAGACATTAGACAGGCTTTCTTTCCTCAAGACTCACCAAAATGCTCGCTTTTCACATGCCCATTTCCTTCTATCTAAAAATATCTGTGGAACATTTGCTCCCTGCCCTTGTCATGTATTTTCCTTGAAACATATTGCTTTGTTCTTCAGCAGAAATGATCCCAAAGTGATTGCTAGAATAATAAAAAGGAGAGGCTCTTTGTCTAACAAATATAACTCTGAAGAAGACAATAGACCAGCAGTAGCTGGCACTCAGAAGAGAAGTATAGCTGGGCCTTTCAGAATTTTCCTCAAGCACTTTGAGAGCATCAGGTTGGGAAGGCTGCTATAGAGTTATCTGGATGTCAGCATTACTAGATTAAAAGGGACCTGCTTTCAAATAGAGATATGAATAGAATTGCTGTGTTGGCCATTCCTTTCCATCCAATTGCAAGTTCTGCAAAAGTCTGCTGCTTGCATCACAATGTGTGATATACCTTTCATTCTGCCACAGATAGTTGAACCGTGGGGAAAATAGATAAAACCCCTCAAATTCGACAAACCCAAATTCACTTTTTAAACTTTTATCCTATGACGCATGGCTTCACCAGAACTTCAGTCCTATGCATCAGTTGAATTAAAACTGATCTCTGAGGAAACCTATACAAGATTGCAGTGTCGTTGTATTCATTTATTCTGAAAAAAATATAGGTTACGATTCAGAGGTTGGAAAAAGTTCAGCAGTTGCTTAATTGTTCTTTGTTGCAATCAATAGAATGTAAATTGAGAGCTCCAATAGCTCAGTAGCCTGCTAAGACCTGGAAAATGCAGGTCTGAGTCCACTCTGTATTATGGAAGTACATTGTGCTTTGGGGCCAATCGTTTTCTCTCTCAGCCTACCATACCTTGCAAGGTGATTATTATGGGAAAAATTGAAGAAAGGAGTGCTCTGTGTATCACTTTGAGCTCCTGGCAGAAAGATGAGATAAAAATGTAATGCACCAATAAATTGCTTATCTTCGGGTAGATTATCCATTGTGTAAGTAGCATTCTAACCCAACTTCTCTGTGCATTTTAGATTATTTTTTTCTTAGGTTTTTAAAAATACATCAGCATCTTGACTTTTACTTTTTTCTTGTGATTTGCTGAGTTTCAATTTTACTCTTTATCTATTTACAGTATGTTCCTCAGTTTTTGAATACTAAAAGGCTGTTTGTGGAGTGAGGTGTATCATAACATAGCAGCATTTGGTGCTGTCAAAATGCATTGCAGGATGCCTGCTTGGGGAATATATTTTGATTTTTATAGCTTCAGCAATCTGTGTGGTCTCCTTAGGTGTATAAAGAATGGCAAAGTATAACTTTTTCCAGGCAAAGTCTGTTCACTGATTTGACCCTAAATCATCAGTCTTCAAGCCCAGAATGATGGCCCCAAGTTTGATTAGCGTAAATTAACTGCATTGAAAAAGTGGCATGTTGGTTTAGGAATGAAATCAAAGGGAAAAGTTCTTGATTTAGGGTATTGTTTCTTATGTTCATGCTTCAGAAACCTTGTCTAGCTTAAATGAGATGGAGGAAGAGGTGGTGGAGATGGTATAAGAAAACTATGAAGTCCAGGGTCCTGAAATATATTCATGATAACAATTTATACAAGGCATCCATGTGTACTTTCCACTCACTGCTGCTTAAAAAAAAAGCAAGAGTTATAAGGTTCATCTGTAGCTGGGAGGAAATGCAATATATTCCCTATGTTGCATCATCAGTTCTGCATTACACACTATTGGCATGCTAGGAAAAAAGTGAGATTTACCTGATCAAGGCTGGACTGGATCACTGGCATTATGCAGTGTTTTTTAGCTTTAAGATATGTGGACTTCAACTCCCACTAAAGTACTGAAAGTCGTTACACAATTTAAAGTTGCCGCAATTAAGAAATATTTATATATATATATATATGGGGAGCATCCAGACCTCAAAGGATAGAGCTCTCTAACATCTCTAAGGGAGAGAGCTGAAACAATGCTTCTTAGCTTGATTGCATATGGGCAGATTCTATTTGAAGAAGAACGCCCAGTGGTGGGTTCCTCCCGGTTTGGCCCAGTTCTCCCGAGCCGGTAGCGGTGACGATATGATGTCACTGAACTGGTTCTGCTCCCCGCCCCCCTGCATTATTCTTACCTTTTATTTGGCCCCACCCACAATCTATTGCTGCCTTCTGAGTCCCAGCTGATGGCTAGAGGGAAAAAAAAATGTTTAAATTCTTGCTGCAGGGCTTCAAAGGGCCGGCCTACAGCTGATCAGTGTTAAAAGAAAACAAATGAGTAGACCAGTGCCTGCAAAAATACATGAGTAGATCAGTGCCTGCAAAAATAAATGGGTAGACCAGTGCCTGCAAAAAATAAATGGGTAGATTGGTACAGCTCTGCAAGCAGTTAAAAGCCTGGTAGACCAGTACCTCTGCTAAATCCTAAATAATTGTCACATGACCATCAAGCCACACCCACAAAATAAGCCACGCCCACAGAACTGGTAGTAAAAAATTTTAGAACCCACCCC